AAACTATTTGGGCTTGCTTTTTTTTTTTTTTAAAATCCTTACGCGATTTTTAATTTTTTTTGCACGCTTCAAGTTTCTTATTAGTTGCGGCGAGATACGCATCTGTATTTGAATGTGAAACTCACTTAATAGGTTGTATTTTGGCACATCTCAGAGCTAGACACGACTATTTAATTTGCTAAGTCTCGCTTCTGCAGCTACATGTAATTTTCTTCTCCTGCTAAAAGTCCTTTGGAAACGCTGCAAAAATGTAATGAATATGCAAAGCAGCCAGCTCTCACATCCAAATCCGGTTTGTCTTCAGAGACTTTTCAAAACGCCCAAAGTGATCAAGATATATTATGAAATAATCACTTTTGCCTAAAATACAGAAATGTGATGTTCGCACTTGCTCCTTGTGCGTATTCCTAATTTAATTGGTGACAGCTCAAATATAATTCACCTGAAATAAAAATCTCTTAAAATCAGTTGGGGTTGCTCAGTTGCTCTTACTTCTAGTGCAGCCTTAAAAAGCAGGAAAAGTGCTAGTGAAGTCCTTGCCCCGTGCTTACATCCCACAACTCCCGAGCTTTCCTTCTCCCAGTACTTCACCCACATCCACCACCTGCTTACTGTAGCTGCCTGTCTTCCTGCTACCTCTGGGGAATGTGCAGCTTTGAACTCAGACCAGGCAGAATGGGAAGAAAAGGGTGTTTTCCTGTGGTTAAAGATGTTGCGCTGGGCTGCTGCCACCGCCGGTTGTCTTGGTAGAGGGAGCCGGTTGCAGGAACAGGTTGTGATTCCTGCACTGATTGTTTACAAATATTTAGTAGTGCTGTCTGTGTCTCTGCGGTTTTTGTTTTCCTTTTTCCTAGGGGTTATGTTTGTGGTCAGAGTTAAGGTGACATCCAGCCTTTGGAGAGGAGGGCATGGCGTATGGGGTGATAGGCTGTGGATGTGAATGAGGTAACGTGGAAAATGAGAATGCATGGTTGTGGGTTGCAAAGGCTGAGTGAAAATCTAACTTGTGATTTCCTGGTGCTTCCGTGGCTATAACAGTATGCAACCTTGCACATATTTTAAAGAGCTTTTTCTGTTACGGGGAATTTCCTAGCTGCTTTCTTTGTTCTATATGTGAAAAATGTAAAAGACAGCTGCTCTTCGTGTGTGTTCCCGCACTCCTTACTGGTATGGACGATGAGCAAAGAAGGGGAGAAGTAGCAGCTCAGCTGCCATCGCTGCGTTCGTTTATTCCTGCAGACCTTCCCGTGCCAGCTTTGCGTTCCCGCCTTTTGCCGTAAAAGGGTTTGCCGTTGGCCGTACCTTGGAAGATCTACTTGCTTGCTCCTAAGGCAGCAGATTATTCGCGTTAGCTTCGCAGGGTTTGCCAGGTTGGTTTGGGATCACAGGTCAGAAAGCCTAAGACTTACCGAGCAGGCTGTGGAAGAGGGGGAATGCACATGGTGCCCCAGGGGGAGGTGCTCTCCCTGGTGAGGAGCATACACAAGTCTTCTGGCCATGAGCTCGCCCCGTGTCTTCTTGTTGCACAATCTCTTCTTGTGCTCACCCTTTACCCCAAAAGCATGGCCACTGCTGCACTAAGAAAAGAGAGCAACAGTGGTGGAAAGCAGTACTTTAATGTCTCTTAGATGCAATTTAAAGGTCACCTGAAAGATGTGTGGAACTGAGACTTGAGTGGGTGTGCTAAGGCTTTGCCATAGCCAGATAGGTGAGCAGAGCCAGGCAGCGACAGCAATGCCGTGTGTCCTTTGAGTTAACGGTCTCTTCTGGTTCTAGCAGTGCTGCGCTGCTTTCCCAGCAAACTTTCTTTTTTGCTTGTCCTCCTCTTAAGCCTCGTCTTACTCCTCCAGCTCGACTAGCTTACCTGCTTTCCTGGCTTTGTAAGCTGTGAGCTGAGCTGAACCAGCGGAGTGGACTGGTAAGGTCTGGAAAATCAGCTTAGCTGGCGGTGTGGTGAGACTGTCTGCGAAAGGGTAGGGAGCCTTCCCCCTGTGAAAGTTTAGAAATAATTGGGATGTCGCTGAGGTGAGTGCCGAAGGAACTCAGTTTAATGAGAGGAGAAAAGAGGTCAAAAGGAGAAGTGTCTGAAAATGTCTTCTCTGCAGAAATTGGTAGCAATCTTAAAAGGAAAATTTGTGTGGCCCTCTCAGGAGTTCCTGTACTAAATTTGGAAAACAGAATTGGTCTTTAAAGTACAAAACAAAGGCATTTCAGTCTTGCTTTAAATTCAAATCTCAACGCAGTCTGAACTGTGGACTCGCTACTGACGCCTCCATAGTACGTATTAATCCAGTTTTACCTGTCATGAGGAGATTCATTGATTAGAAGCCTCTAGGTAAAGGCTGCTCGTGGACTGTTGCTGCTCTTCCAGCCTGTGGGCTGGAAAAATGAGCTCCATGCCTTGCCTGGAGCTCTTGGGCTGTGTGTCATTTCACTGCCACCGTACTCCCAGGAATCAGTTTAGCTCTCTGCACAAAGTCCATTTATGTAGATTTATGTAGATTTTGTGCTAAGATGGATGACTTTCAGAGCAAACGGGTATTCTTGTAACAGTTATATAAGTTGATTTGTGGTATTGATGGTAGCAAGTCAACATCATTTGAAATGGGAGGGTAAGAACAGTTTACTGAAATGCCACTAAAGCATAAACTGTTAGTTTTGTTTGTCTTGTCAAAGTTTTATGGAATGGGAGGATTTTTCTAAGAACTTCTGTGAAGTAATGACAATTTTAAAAATACTGATTTATGTACTGCTTAAAGGATTACCTTAAGTGATCTTCCCCATTTTCCTTGTTGCTGCTCACATCTTTGAATGTAGACAGTACTTAATTGTTTTTATGCAATTAACTGTTATTTTTGAAAGCTAAACTGTATTTCTAAAATGCATAGCTCTTAAATGTTTCCAGTTTCACTCTTGAGTTCCAAAGTGTGCGGTTTATTAGCTCTTGAACTCACCAGCAGCTCCTTGAGGTGGCTGCTCAGATCTAGCGGGCTATTGCTGTCCATTCTGTTTTACAAATACCAGCATACAAAGATTGATATGTGCAGCTGGTGGGCTTGGTTTTTTTTGTATTTTTTGATTTTTTTCCAGGTCTTTTCTTCCTGAAAATATTGTTTGTAGGTATCCTGTTGCTGCCACATACATTTTTGTAAAGTTTCTGTTGGCCTCCTGATCTTATTTTTCTCTAGTAGAGTTTAATCAAAGGTTTGTAGCAAATGTGTGATCTTTCAGATGCCTCCTGAATAGAAGTTGAGTTCCGTTTGTTACATCTGTACATTTATTTTGAATCGTTGAAGAAAAAGCGCATATTGGGGGGGGGGGGGTAAGTGCATATTGTAGAAATAATTTCTGCCTTAGTTTCATTTTTGATTACCAGTCTCCCAATCCCCCAAAGCATACATATATTCTTGCATCAGAGTTCTGGGGGGAGGGGAGCGGAACGTTACTAAAATAGTTTCCCCCCCAGTGTGTGTGTGTGTGTGCAAATCGTTCTGTAAGTGCTGATTTTTAGGTTATTGCTGCGTGGTTTTTTAAAGGGCAGTGTGATAGTAGAGTCAGAGTAGTGTTAACAGACCAGTTCCATGTTTTAGTTCTGTTACTTTCCCAACCAACTATAAATTACATGCTTTAGGCCTTATTGATTGGTGGTTTAGCTTAATACAGTAATACTGGAAATTACCTGCTTGTAGTTGTGAAAGCCATCGTAGAGAGAAGAGGGGGGTGTGTGTGAGATCTTAGAATTCTCTAAAGAGTTTATTATTTGTGGGATAACTGCGGATAATGGGTTTTATGAAGTTGAAACTTGTGCAAATGGTTTTGCTGCAGCCATAAGGGTACAATACTGCTGCAATTTGTCTGTTGGGAGCCCTTAGAGTGCAATTTCTGTGTTTCTGAATGGTATTTCATGTCATAAGTATCAATGACATGCAGGCCTGTTAGCAAATGGAACAGGCAGGTGAATTCGAAATAACATTTTTAAAGTATATGTGTTGGAATCCGTCAGCATTTTTGCTTTGTCTGCAGATGTTGCTCCCTTAATTAAGATCAGCAGCGGCATTAGATCCTTTTTATGGGAAGTGGGGAAAACTGTAGAAGTACTTGGTTCTAAAACACCCTTTTACTGATCCAGCTTCGTTAATCCTCTGTGGTTCTGTGAAGCACTTATCTTCTTTGCTTGCCTTCTACAGTCCTCTACACTGCTATGGGGGGAGATGACTGGAGAATTGAGGAGAATTGAAACTGATGAGCTTTTTTTTTTTCTTCAGGGGATCAAGTATTCAGTAATTCTTCAGAGTGTTTTGTGATTGTTTTGATCTGAACATATAAAAGAGAGTCAAGTAGAAGCAGTGAGCAATATTGAATGACATTCTTGGGAACAAACATGAAGTGGGAATGCTGAAAACAAGCTGGCTTCATGTTTGAATCATCTTTTTTGTAGGTGCATCGCAACTATCTGCTGATATGTTTTTTCACAAATGTTTCCATTAAGTTAACTAGTCAAAAAATAGAGCTATTGCCCCTTTTTTTCATTTCCATACATGTTCTTCTAATGAGAGAAAGAAGTCCTGTCCTCTGAGTTGACAGCCTTACGGAAGGGTGGGTGGTGGGGGGAATGCATCTGGACGTCAGCATTCTGGTGCTCATCTTCTCTTTGTTTGTACTGTTTGCAGGTTCTGTCATCCGTGATGGCGTCAGCTCTACCCAGAACCCTTGGGGAATTGCAGCTGTATCGAATACTACAAAAAGCAAATCTCTTATTCTACTTCGATGCCTTTATTCAGCAGGGTGGCGATGATGTCCAGCAGCTCTGTGAAGCAGGTGAAGAGGAGTTTTTGGAGATAATGGCTCTAGTAGGCATGGCTAGCAAGCCACTTCATGTTCGAAGGCTGCAGAAGGCTTTGAGGGACTGGGTCACAAACCCTGGTCTTTTTAACCAGCCTCTCACCTCCTTACCAGTCAGCAGCATTCCAATATATAAGCTGCCGGAAGGGTCTCCTGCGTGGCTGGGGATATCCTGCAGCAGTTACGAAAGGAACAGCAACACCAGAGAGCCTCACCTGAAGATTCCAAAATGTGCTGCCACGACGTGCGTGCAAAGCGTGGGCGCGAGCAAATCTGATGTGGTGGGGAACTTATCGCTGCAGAGCGGCAGCGAACCGAGACTCTGGCAAGGACACCACACCACAGAGAGCGAACATAGTCTTTCCCCGGCTGATCTTGGCTCTCCAGCTTCACCAAAGGAAAACAGCGAGACCCTGGATGCCGCTGCTGCTCTGTCAGTTGCTGAATGCGTAGAACGTATGGTTCCCTCCCTGCCCAAAAGTGACTCCAATGAAGTCAAGGAGTTACTGAAAACAAATAAGAAACTGGCAAAGATGATTGGTCACATCTTTGAGATGAGTGACGAGGACCCTCACAAAGAGGAGGAGATCAGGAAGTACAGTGCAATATATGGCAGATTTGACTCAAAAAGAAAGGATGGCAAGCATCTCACCCTCCACGAGGTAAAGTACCTTGAGCGACAGTGGGCTTCCTCCCCTATTCCTACACCTTTTATGAGATGCTGTTCACAGGGTACACTTTTTGTACAGGCACTTCTCACTAGGTGATGAGAGTTGTGTGTATTACACGAGCTGTAGGCTGTCCTGCCATGGGATAGAAATCTCAGGTGCAGAAGTAGTACCCTTTCTTGGGTGGGTGTGTGCATGTGTGCACTGATGACTTCAACTGGTGTCATCAGACCGCTCAGTCACTGGTGCAGCCTGTCAGACAGTTGGTTTAAACAGTTTGGCACTGAAATAGCAAACCAGTATTGCACTGAGCATGGCCCTTGGGATTCTAGGCATTCGGCACATTTTTAAAGCAGTCCTATCTTGATATTCCCGTGCAGCTTTGAGAGTAGTCTGGTTGTTTGGAAGATTAGTAGCTGAAGTCGCTTGTGTCTGGTAACAGGATCACCTGGCTTGGTTACTACCCTCTGCTGTCTTCCCTTACCTTGAGACCCTGCTCTGTAGCTTGTGCATTTGAGGTAAAAAGGATTCTGCTGATGAGGTCTCTACACCCAGTGGGTGGGATTTTTTTGTGTTTTGAGTTGTGATGAAGCTTAATTGTACAACCTGTGGGATTTTTGGGGCATGGTGGTCTTAAGCTGGTCAAGTGAAGTGCAAACTATGTGAGGAGGAAGGGAAAGGACTGTCTCCAGTATTGATGGGTGGCTGTAACTTGGGGGTTTGTCCTTTAATACCTGCGTAGCATCTGTTCCCTCTTGTCCTTAAAAGTCCATGCGGGCCTCCTTTGCTTCTCTTCTGGCATTCTTGAGGCTCACTCTGCATATGTTGTAACGCAATAGGTGTGTCTGTGTGGGGAATAGTTCCCTAGTGCCAAAGTACAGTACAAGAGGAGAACAAACATTAATTCAAAGCAGTGCCAAAACGCTGTTGATATGAATGCTGCATCAGCATTTTCACAGTTAACAGTGATTGCGAAATTTCAGTTGGATTTCAAATTTGGCATGTAAGGCTTAGCTCCCAAAAGGAAAGGCAATGTTTATGTTACAGGAGTGCCAAAAAAATTGTACTGGCTTTAGCCTTTTTTTGCTTCAAGAAGAAGTTTTGTAGGTGTGTGATCCATAGCGTAAGACTAGGTTCTCTTTATGCTTCTGAGTAGAAGGGCAGAAAGAAACAAGGCGTTATTTCTTTACATTTGTGCTTATGTATTTACATTTATAAGGCAACTGCACATCACCAGCAGTGACTTCACTAGGGCTTTTACTACACACTGGGGAGATGCTTCCAAGGGAACTTGTCAGTAGTCAGCCGCATTTCTACCACACAGTTTTAGTTGTGCAGCTTTCACTTACGTGCTTTGTGGCTTTATGTTGAGCACTGACAATCTATGAATTCATCCAGTGTGCAAGAACAGATTTGTCTTACTCCCCTGACCTTGCGGAAGTCTCTGCTGTAACAGAGCAAGTTGCGTATGAGATGGAGGCAGGATTTGAAAGGATTAATTGTGTAGATTCCTTGTGTACATTGCTGCAGAGTTGGGGTTCAGAGAAAGGGGGTTCTCCCCACCTGAGGATGGAGGCAATCAAGGTATACAACGCGTGCAGCTGTGTGCTTTTGCAATCTCTCTCTGGGGTAGCGGCTGCAGAAAATACTCTGAAATCTGGGCAGACTTCTCATAGGATAATTTCCTGGCATCCAGCAGTGTAATGGAAGGTGGGCACCAGGGGCAGCCTTTGTGTCAGGCATGTGGTAGGCTCAGGAGTGGCTCTGTGAAGGTGGAGGAGTGAACAGTGGGGTGGTAGATTGAAGGAGCAGGGTAGCAAAGAACTGGAAGAAAGGATGACTGCTCTACCTCGTTAATTTTTTTTAGTGCTGCACTACAGATCTTTACTACATCACTGTAAAACCATGTTTAAAAATGGAATGAGAGCATGGTTTGGCTTTAGGAAATATTTCTATCGCTATTATGATTAAGGGCACAAGATCAAAGGAGTATGTGGTTGACTTATGCCTCACTTACGCATGTGGGGCCTTGCTGAACTTGATGGGAACTGCACACATGCAAGCAAGAAGAATTTGCTCATAATTGGTTGACTGTTTGCTTAAAGAGGCCGGATTTCACAAAATTTTGTCTTGAACAGTTTTCTCTCCATTTGCATTTTAAAGCAGAAAATATAGAAATAGTAGCAAAGAGACCTTTTTTTTTTTTTTGTTTAAAATCTGCTAAACCAGAGTTTGCCTTTTGTAAACTCAGCTTCAGTGAGTTTTTGTTTTTGATGGCTTAAACAATTTGCTGTTCAGAAGGAATGACCTTAAACAACCAGGGAGGTAAGTTTCTGCTTGTCCAGGAGACTCTGTTTCTGCATGTGTTAATACATTCCAAGGCTGTCATTCTGCCTCACAGTTCAAGGTTTCTCCTTGCAGCTGGCAATGAACAGCTGAATAAACTTCACTATGAATTTAAAAAGCTTAAGTAGTGGTTGGCTTCTTAATGTAAAGATCAGGGTGTATCTGGCTGCTCAAGCAGAGTGGAGTTGCATGCAAATGGAACTTAAACTTGATGGAATTATTAGTGGTGAGTTAGTGAGAATATTCTCTGTTTCGGTATGAACACTAGAGTGTCTCGGAGGGCTTGAGCAGCCATTAGAGGCCAGCGAGAGCTGTAGATACTGAGCTGATTTGGAAGTGTGTGCTGTTGGTAGGATTCTCTGCATAAGGCACTGATCTAGCATAAAATCTGATGCAGAATCTTTCAAAGACATTCCAAAACTAATAAACATACTGTCCTTAATCCATCCCATTGTCTCGGTATTACACAGCTTTTCAAGCACGGAGGGCACTTCATGTTTAAAGTTAGACTGGAGGAGGGATGAGTATGAGGCATGCCCTTGAACTTGGTGACCTGTGCTTGTTTGAGTCAGATTTGTAATTTGCGTGTTAAAATTTCAGCGCTTGCCTAGGTACCTATAAAACCGAGAAAAATCCTGTTTAATAGTGAGAGAAACAGGAATAAGAAATGCAAGTAATAAATTTTGTCTAGCTCGGTCCCTTCCTTTTCTTTTGCTGACTCACCAAAACAGTAGGACTTGGTATTTAATTATGTGGTTTTTTTAGTGGGGGGAATCTATGAACCCCATCAGATGGGAATATACCCATGCCTTTCCATAGACCCTGTATGGTTATGTGCTGCTTCATACCATTAAGGCTTCCAGCAAACAGAATCTTTATTTTTAGGCATGTAATACTTTCTGTCTGCAGTATTAGGTCTCCTGAAAAGGCAGGAAGCCATGATGCACTTCAATTCAGTAAGTCTGGATGTGACCTGAAAGAAGAAACCAGGAAAAACAAACAAACATTTGGCTTTTCTCATACATTAGGATAAACAGCATTTGCCTACAGCTACCCAAAGTATTTTCAGGCGTTTCAGCTCTTCGCAACCTTTTAACACTTTATAGAGGGATAAAAAAATCTCAAATTATTTTGTAAGCATTAGTCATATTATTCATCCTCGGCAAAGTAATCACTATCACTGTTACAGAAATCAATGCCTGCTTTGGATGGTAATTCTTTTCATCAGTATTGTATTAATCTTTTATATCTCCCCCCCGTGTTTTTTGTGAAAAGATAAGACATTGTAGAACAACTGTTCCTGTCTAAGGGGTGATAGCTTGTTATTTTAGTACATTATATTGTAGGAACATAGTAACCTAGAGATGTTTCACAGATTAAACCTAAACTTCCCACCCTTGTACATCTGATCTCTGTGAGATTTTTTTTTTGTCTGTACAGAGACTAAAAGATCAGGCAACATATCTAGTTCATCTGTTAAAGACATGTTTGCACTCTGATTGGCATTCAGGTATCGCAGGAAATGCCCTACTCGGATCAGAGGCTTTTATGCTAAACACAGGAAAAAATGCTTATGAAATATTAGGAACAGCAGTTCTGTGTGAGGTTTTACTAGAAATACTGCATGGGCACAGGCTGCTGAGAGAATCTCAGCTCTTCTGATACATATTTTTGGGTTTTTTCAACCTCCCTGGAGAACAAGTGTTGCATTAGGCAAAATTTTTTTTTTTTTCCCCCTCATTTGGATGACATAAAGCACTGTGGCAAAGGACAGCATGGTTGTGTGTTGTTCATGTCTTATGACAGCTTCCATCCTTCAGGGATGGAGCGTGCGGTGTTTCAGGTGAGTTGCTGGCCTCTGATTTAATTCAGAAGTAACGTTCTGCAGTGTGGTAGACAGGGGTAAAGGAGCAAGTGTCTTAGCCTTCTCCCAAGAGACACTGTTTAACTTCAGACCTGCTGGTCTGTCCTCAGCTTCACCTTCTGTCTGCTTCCATGAAAACCACTTCTTGTACAAGCAGTGTTTTTAGTGTCTGAGGTCACATGTGTGCGGTCCTGCCCATCCTCATCCACATAACCCTCTGTGCTGAACTGCAGCTGTTCTCTGCACTGCCAGATCAAGGGTTGGGGATGGCACATCTCAGTCCGTCATGAATATGCTGACTGTGCTGTGGAAAACCTAGCTGCTTTGTAATATTCACTAGCCTGAGACCGATACAGAACATCTGTTGACAATAGCAGCAAAGCAGCTGGTGCTCATTTGTGAGAAGCCAAGCCCATTCAAAGCAGTTTAATTTCTAGAAATAAAGAGAAGAAGAGTTGTGGGCACTTTGGAAAACACACCTGTAGTATTCTGTTGGCCTCTTGCTGTTAAGCCTCATTACAAGTGCTGGCTGTTCTTCAGCTGAGGAAGAAGTGAAAATGTCTCTTCAGCCCCTGCTTACTGAGGAAGGAGCAGGGAATCTCCTCTCCAGCATCTCAGTTCCAGTGTCTCTCATTGTGTTAATAATTTTGTTGTTTGTCCGTACTGTTGGCCATAGGTCATAGGTTTTTCAGACCGCAGTATTGTTAAGCTGGTATAATTCATGACAGTATCACCACTTCCTATAGGCTTCTATTGCGAAACCATTTTGAGCCTTAACTTAAGGCTTTTTTTTTTTTTGTTCCCCTCTTTATGAAACTGTTGCCAGCAGCAGAGGCACTAGAAATGTGTCCCGACAGGCTCAGGAAAACATCCTTGAAACAAGTTACATTTGATTCATGTCTGAAGATAGTCTTCACAAACACGAGGGTGAGAAACATAGCTAAAAAAAGTTTAATCGTTTCTTAAACCATCACCTTCTACAGAATTTATGCTGTATTCACCAGGGAAAGCCATCTGTACCCACACTGTCAGGGTGTTTTTTTTTTTTTTTTCTCCCCCAAGTCCTGGGCATATTGCTTTTATAAAAATAGTATTCCCTGTACACCAGGCTTTGGGAGCCAAACACTGTGAACATTCAGAGCTACTGTTTTATACTGAGATTTAATTAATGCTGGAATGAGGCACAAGCAGCGCACATTGAGAGACACTTACAGTAATGTTTTACTTTAAATGACATTAAATGCACCAACTACATTTGTATCTTTTCTCTTCCCAGAGGCTTACCTGGCTTAGTAAAGGTATAAATAAACTGAAGAAACCCTCCAGGGTGTAGTATACAATTATAGGTAATTTTACTTGCAATTGAAATTCTTTATTATTTCAGAAGAACGGGTAGTTTTACAAGCACAATGGGTGAAAGTGTGCAAAATCCTGAATCCCTGTTTTTGTGTTTAATTTCCAGCTAACAGTTAATGAAGCAGCCGCTCAGCTGTGTGTAAAAGATAACGCGTTGTTGACCAGGAGAGATGAACTCTTCGCACTAGCTCGGCAAATCTCTCGAGAAGTTACATACAAGTATACTTACAGGACCACCAAGTAAGGCTTTAATTAACTTAAAGGACCTTTACTTTCAGGGAACTAATCAGTCTGATAGCATTTCTTTTGAAGCACTAGAGACACTTTCCTCCTGCTCTTTAGCTAGCAAAGTGCTCTTCTGAGGAGGGTAGGAAAATGCTATTTAAGTCATGAAGCTTTCAAACTGCTAAGATTTAGCTGTCTTGAATTACCTTTTTATTTGCTCTCTAGTTTTCCAGATTTTGTCATGATAGTGCATGCTGAGAGGCATCTGAGAGGTTGGCATTTCAAATATTTGAGGCATTTGTGTATTTCAAGGTTAATGTAAATAGGCAGAGTAGCCAAAGCTGCTTAATGTATCAATTATTATTTTTCCATATACAGATTTGGTGTGTTAGTTTCCAGGGAATGAAAAAGATAAGGTCATAGGGAGTGGCTTACAAACTTGCTTTAAAGAAACTGAAGCCGAGTCCTAATTTCTGTTGTTACTGTTCTGTTAAATGAACTGCTGTTATGAAACAGTAACAAAGGCTTAACAGCTTTTAAATATAATTAAAACTTTAGGGTTAATAAATATGATTGAAAGTCTTGATACTTTCTATATATTATTTTTAAGTGTTAACCCCCTCATGTGTAACGCAATATCCTTTCAAAATACATTTTTAGTTTAGTTTAGTCTAGTCTACCCTTGATTGGCTTAGAGTAGACTTGGTAGTGTAGGTTAATGGTTGGACTGGATGATCTTAAAGGTCTTTTCCAACCTAAACGATTCTATGATTCTATGATTTTCCTACACTTCTAGGAGCTTTTTATGATTTTCCGTTGCTCCCTTTCTTCCACAGTGATTAATGTAGATATATATCCATTCTGGGTAAGCAATGCCAAAGGCGTTTCTGTAATTCTCCGTGCTCAGGTAGCTTTCCTTTCTGTTTGGAGGAAGAGTGCATGAGTCTCTTGACACTTTTGAAAACAGCACAAGGCGCTTGTATTCCTCTATACTTGAGTGACACTTACTGCCATGTCCAAGTGAATTGGAGGCTTTTTTCTGTGCATCTCGCTTGTTCTTGTCTGATTGGTTTTTTTCCCTTGACTCTGTATTTCATTATTATTTCTGATGGTCAGTGTTAATGTGCCATTTACTGATAGTGTATGTGTATTCTCTTCTAGATCTAAATGTGGAGAAAGGGATGAGCTGTCACCAAAGAGAATCAAGATAGAGGTACAGTATTGTAACTCCTGTATTTTGACCTATGCATGCTAAAATTCACTTTTGTTTTGAAGGGTTCGGTCTCAAGGAAATTTGTCAGAAAAACATTTGACAGACAGTTGATGGGTGTGAGAGAGGGGGAGAACATCACCACTGTCTCTGCAAATGGAAATGCTTGATGGAGAAACCTGTAGGAGCAGGGGTAAAGAGTAGGATTTGCTTAACAGTAAAGTTACTCTCAGTGTTTTGCACTCTGAGTGAGTAGGAGGGGGAGGGATGGGACTGACTGACTTCCTGTGGTGGAATAAGCTCAAAAGCGCTATAGGAACCATCTTCCCATAAGGCCTCCTGCTTGTAAGTCAGTGTGAGGTGCGGTTTGCTTAATTCACTTCAGTCAGCTTTTGATCATGTCCAGAATCCAGAGTTCTGGATAAGGATTGATAGCAGAATACTAGCTGTCTCCGACTATGCTATAAATTGTAAAACTGATCATATTGAAGAGTCAAAAGGTAACTAAAAGCTATATATGTCAACGCAAATGGTTGTGCCTGTAGATATTAATTTACAGGTTTTTTTATTAGTTTTGTGTAAAAAAAACCAAAACAAAACCAAAAACCCACAAACAAACAAAAAAAAAACCCACAGGTACACATGGCTAATGCATACCCCTGCACAAGATGTTGCTTAGAGAGATGCTGGGACTTTCTTGTTAGGAGTGCAGGAGCCACGTATATGTAGGTTACCTTTTTCTTCAGTTACCACTGCTGGAAAGTAAATTTGAGGCCTTTTAAAAAGTCACTTTTAATTAGGAAAAAAAAAAAAAAAATTGTAAGTATGTATACCTATATACCTCATAAGAATAGTAGATCTTCCTTTTTAATTTTTTTTTTTTAAACAAATACTGTTTCACTGTTATGTGTGTATGTGATTCATCCTTAGTGTTGTGGGGGTTTTTTTTATTGTACTGTCTACTCCAAGAGGTGTAGGTTAAATGTGCGTTAGAATGTAAGCTAGGCCTGAGCTAGATTTGTATGTGACACGGATATCCGTTACATTCTTGAAATGTAGAGGGGAGTTGTGGCATATTCTGGAATGCGTTTCTCATATGTAACTCATTCTGTAATAAATGATGAGTAGTGCCATGCTTTGTTACCTGTACAAAGGCTTTTCCTGTGAGGCAAACCCTGGTGAGAGCAGTTAGTGTTGAAAAGGTAGTTATGAATAGGTATAGAGGAATTAATCTTTTATTTATTTATTAAGTTCATCAGTCTGTGTACAGTTGTAATTTGACTTTATATAATACAAAATACACATGTGCATTGAGGATTTACTGGTAGCTTTGATAAGTCAGTAATGCCCTTTACATGTGTTAGGATTTGCTTTGACCTATGCTTGTTCTTTGATCCACAAAAAAGAGCAGGGAAAAACTGTGTTAAATGATATTACCCACCTTCACCATTATCTGCCTTGACCAACATGTTGCAGGATGGTTGCTTGAGTCTCCCCTCTATTGTCCGGTCTAGTCCTGGAGCTGGTGCAGAGCTGCCACTCCTCTGCTTGAAATAGTATTTCACTGACTGTTGGATTTCAGCATTAGGAAGGTTTTCCTTCATTCAGTAATAATTGATGATGAGCAAGTATCTAAAATGACACACTGCAAGGGAGGTGCTTTTTTCCACAGGATCTTCATTGAAAGAAAAAGTAAAATTTAACTCCTGAAAAATACAGGCTGAAACTTTAGGTTTTTTGGAGAGCAGGAAATTTGGACAGCCTTAGGAGATGTGCATTCTCTTATTTTCTGCATGGTGAAATCTTAAGAGTCTGGAAGGCCTACTTTCTCTAGACACTTTTTAGTTCAATAATTCTGACAAAGGATGTTTACTTGGTTTTCTTTTTATTTAAAATTACCAGTTGTGTTTTAAAACGCTTGTGAAAATTTCATGTCCTAACTGTACAAATTGCTGTTTCAGAAATGGGACTTTTTTCCAAAATAAGAAATAGAAAATTAAACTAAATGAAATAATCTTTCATTTGATAGCATAGTACTACTAATTGTGAAAAGACCAGTGTTGTTATCAACATAAATGTCTTTTCCCTTACAAGTTTGGGAGCCTTCTAAGGAGTAAACCATTACTTCAGTGCATTATAATTCTGAGGTACACTGTAAATCATGGACTTCTCTCCAAAGAAATTTAAAAAAGATGCAGTATTACACAGTAGATCACTTTTACATGTAGTGTTTTGGGTTCTTGGGGCTTGCATTTTGAAAAAAAGAAAGTCCTTTTTTAGTAGTATGTTTGGGAATTTTGGGGGGGGGGTTTTGTGTTTTAGAAAGGTGGAGGTAAAAATGAACATGGTAGCAAATACTGCAGATTTTTCCTTCTGTTCTGGATAAGAATTCCTTATCCTGCTTTTAAATTTGTAATGCTTCATTGTGGCTCTATTATCTCACTATCATGCTAATACCATGCAGAGGATCTGAACATTGGTGATATTTTTTTTTGTGTTCTAACTAGCTCTCTCTTTTTTTTTGGGGGGGG